AATTCAGACTTTTTTCACAATTGGAAAAATGTTTAAAAAAAATCTCAGAATTATGACTATATTCAGACTTTTTTATTTTTCCTAAGAATTCAGACTTTTTTCACAATTGGAAAAATGTTTAAAAAAAATCTCAGAATTATGACTATATTCAGACTTTTTTATTTTTCCTAAGAATTCAGACTTTTTTCACAATTGGAAAAATGTTTAAAAAAAATCTCAGAATTATGACTATATTCAGACTTTTTTATTTTTCCTAAGAATTCAGACTTTTTTCACAATTGGAAAAATGTTTAAAAAAAATCTCAGAATTATGACTATATTCAGACTTTTTTATTTTTCCTAAGAATTCAGACTTTTTTTGAACTCGGAATTGGAAAAAATGTAAAAAAAATCTGAGTTTTTTCCTGAGTTCAGACATTTTTTCTGTCAGAATTCAGAACTCCTGAAACATTGTTTTTGCTGTGACCCTTATCCTCTTCCGTATTTTCCACACCGTGGGTCAGTTGTGACACTTTTCTCGGGGCTTACACTGTTGCTTTAAGGATGTCAGAGTGTATCTGGGCCACACCGTTGACAGCATGAGAACCCACGATGCACAAATGTGCCATGTTGATCCTCTTCTGCCCGCCCTCCTCGATCAGGGACATTCGACGAAGGCGATCCATGTCTCCTGGATATTTGGCAGCAACTCTCTGAAAAATTACAAGGAGCTCAATATTAAAAAATATAAAAAAATTCTGTGTCATAGCCTGTCATCTCCCCCTGATAATATCAAAGTCAACCTCTGTGCACTCACAGAAGGTCAAGGCGCCATTATTTAAAATGCGGTGGAGCTGCCAGCAGCACAACCGTATAAACACACGTGAGGAGATGAAAGTGTGTTTATTGTGCAAATCTGCCCACCGCTCAACGTCAGAAATGTTTCTCTCTTCTTTCAATGTGAACGTGYGAGTTCACTTCTGACAGATGTTCAAAATAAAATCCATTTTCTTTGACTTTAATAAAACAGCACACATCTTTAAAGTGGCTCTCTGAATTTCAACAGTTGTCACGACTCGTGTAATTTAGAAAAAATATAGTTCAGACATCAAATATTAAGGTACATGTTCTTCTAGTTTTGTTTCTATTATAGATTTGTAGCTTTTTTATTGTCACTTGCCACCACAAAATGTGGATAATCATAATGTCCCGTYTGTTTGTCTGTTAGCAAAATAATGAAACCATCAAAATTAATCCTCAGAAGCTGACTACCTTTTTGGAGTTAACTGTGAAACCACTGGAGGCAAACCACATCTATCAAAGCATCTCATGAATTAGTGGATGAATTTTAATGGAACACTCGGAAAGTAACCACTGGCTGCATCTACAACTGATTGTGTTATATGTTTAACACTCGAACAAAATCAAGATGGCCGATACAGCTACACGTCAAAAATTAGACATCTAAAAATAAGCAAAAAAAAAAATAACGCTAGATTATAATCTGTTTATAGTCTTTTCAAAAATCTGCCAGTGCAATAAGACAGTGCACTTGGTAAAATTTGAAATAAGGAAAATTTCCCAGATTAACAAGATTAATAATCCAACACATTCTGCTCTTGCTCAGTATATTAGCCTCAAAAGAATATCAAAAAATAATTTTTAGCTGCTGGATTCAAGATTGTAAGACTTGGCTAGATGGACATTTTTTGCAATGTAATCAAACCTAGCAAATTAAATTAGTTATAAATCAGTCAATTTTAATTAATTGAGCTAGAATTTGGTGAGTTAGTAGTTGAGAATCATGTCAGATCAACTCATGGAGCTCTAACAGGCTACACAAGATCTTGTTTTAAAACTTAGCCCTGCAAGGCAGCAGACAATAAACATTCCTTCAGGACTGTTAGTTTCCTTCGTGTTTTAGGTTCCTCTGCTTGTAGCTCATGAACACAGAAAGTTTTTTTATGTTAAGATTGGAGACTTTCCTTAATATTTACTCACAGAAATTGGCAGTGTGTTTGTGTGCTTGTTTGTGCTACAGAGTGAGGACCGACAATTGTTTTTAACCAACAAAGTGAAGATATTTTCCTGCTCCCCCTTTTTTTGCACTCGAGGCATGGTGTGAATTATGTTTTGGTTAGGTTTAGGTAAAATGTCTGGGTTAGGCATAAATGCAGTTACAAAAATYAATGGAAGTCAATACAAAGTCCTCAGTTTAGAGTACAATGATGAGTGTGTGTGTTGGGTAAAAGCCATGGTGTGTGACTCATGACAGGGTTTTGGAACTCYTTGCAGTGTGCAGCACCAACCTCCAGGTGGCGGCGGTTGATCTCGTAGACGATCTCCAGATGGCGAGGCAGCAGATGAGCAAACAGCTCCACTGGCCAGCGCTCCAGAGCTTCAGGGAGGACTGTGTGGTTGGTGTAGGCACAGGTACGCACACAGATGTCCCAGGCCTGAGCATTACCACGAGGGAAACCAATTGGATAACATGACATATTTATCTCCTCATTATTTACTGTTTGTCTTTCCTCAACTCACTCCATCTGAACAGTATCAAGAGTGTACAGTATATCACACACACACACACACACACACACTGTATATACCCAAAAAAAGCTCTAAATGAAATAAAGTCCTTACATTTTCCCATGTGAGCTTCTCTTCATCAACCAGAACCCTCATCAGCTCAGGAATAGCCATAGCAGGATGAGTATCGTTCAGCTGGATGGCAACCTGAATGTGCAAAAAACAAAAGTAGTGACAGAAATATCCCCTTAATATTCATTTAAACTATTCTTTAAAGCTGCGACTAACACCTACAACCTGTTCAGCACACTGACAACAAGCGGTTTGACGAAAACTTAAAAATGGGACTTATTCTTTGATTTAATTTATTTTCTTCTGACAGAAGCAGAGTTTCTGGCTTCACCTTGTCAGGCATTTTGCTGAAGTCTGTGCGAGCAACCTCCCGGGAGCCAAACTTGGACACCTTGAAACGGCGAACGATGTCTTGCAGGGTGGCAGAAACCACGAAGTACTCCTGCTTCAGACGGAGCTCCTTCCCTTCAAAGAACTGCAGGAGCACAGAGGTACATGTTTGTTCTAACAGGAGCATTTACAATATTAAAGGTTTTTAATTCAAGGGAAAATTAACCAAAGCTGTGCACCAACAGTGATTTAGCTGAGCGTCAGTAGCTTTACAGTATCTGTAAATGTAGTACTATTCAGGAGATGTACGTCTTGTGATTCACACTGTTTTACTATTTTTCTAAAGGTTTTTTTTGCAATCAAACACATTCTGCATAKTTTGTGCWATTTTAGTATTTCAGGATGTTCTCATTTAGGAGATGTGACTTTGGGATTTTGGAAGTTTCTATTATTTTTTATATATAAAATATTTCCCAAAAGAAATACACTAAGATCTGTTCAAGTTGTTTAAAAACTTATATTAAAAGTTCTATTTAACGTCTGCTTCAGCTCATTTGCTGTAATTATCTTTGATACTATTAGCTTTTAACTACCAGTCTCAGTCTACTTTTAGCTACAGGAGTTAGACAATGAAAGTGAAACACCTGGTTTTAGACCATAACATCCCTTTCAGACAGCTTCCTCTTGCGTCCAGTTAATCCTGTTGGATGTGGTTGGTCCTTCTTGGTGGTATGCTGACATTACTCTGGATACTGTGGCTCTTGATACATCACAAAGACTTGCTGTCTTGGTCACAGATGCACCAGCAAGACATGCACCAACAATTTGTCCTCTTTTAAACTCTGGRATATCACCCATAATGTTGATTACATTGCTATATTTTGAGCAAAACTGTGCTCTTACCCTGCTAACTAAAACTTCACTCTCTGCTCTTATCGGTGCAATGTGCAATGAAGACTGGCCACTGGGCTGGTCCAGTTTAGCCATGAAACCTCCCACAATAAATTGATGTGTTTCAGTTTCATTGTCTAACCCCTGTAGATTTTCACAAGTTTTAACATTTAGCTAAGATTTTGCTGCTTTTAGTTATTGTTTTGCAAATGATAATTTTCTATTTTTTCCTACTTTTAACTTCTAGCTAACCTTTTGTTAATTTTAGCTATTGTTTTGATACTTATAACTTTTTATTACCTCGAGCTAACATTTTGCTACTATAAGCTATTGTTTTGTTTCTTATACCTCTCAGCTAGCGCTTTACTACTTTTTAGCCTGTAGCTACACTTCTGCTGCTTTTAATTTTTAGCCTTATCTCATTAGCTAGCATTTTGCTTCTTCTAACTTTTAGCAAGTGCTCTGCTTCTTTTAGTTTTAACAACTCAATCTCAACTAAGTTTAATTTTATTTTCTGAAGTCATAAAAAGGGTTTGTATGTTAGAGTTCTTATTCTAGTATAAATCATAAAATTTGTTATTTTATCTCCATTTATCCAGATAGATTCCAAAGAAATGGCAAAACTTTACTTGTGTAGTAAAAAAAACTTATTTTGTAATCATTAACTACACATTGTATAAATTTATGAATCAGCATTATGTTTTCATTTCAGAAAACAAGGAAATGAGAGAAAACAGACACCATTTAATCARATATTTATGATGCAAAAGAGATTCCTCTTCTGAACTCTTTACAGCTGACAGAAATAAACAGTTCTGCTCAGCTGCACGGTCTAAAACACCAGCTCCATTAGACTTTCTGCTCTCTGTCGTGGACATAAATCACAAAACCTACAATGAGTTATAGCTCAGTAAATGGCTGTAAATCCTCCTCCCTCAGTGTTCAGAACGCTGTGGTCAGGTCTTAAGACAGATTTTTAAAGACAGCTGCAGAAAGGAGAAATCGTTACAAGCTCAAAGTGGCTTTACCTGAACACAAAAGACATTTGTCTGTATTACAGGAGTCCATCTCTCAGCTGATAAGCCTCATKCACTCATACAGGAGCCACACAGATCCTCTTCCTTTTGACACTGACATCTATATGCTTCCTATTTTCTAYCTCAACGTGTCTCTTGTCAGTGAGGGAGTGTAGCTCTGGTAAATTAGATGGTAATAGTCATCTTTTTCTTACATTATCGTTGGGGTAGAGCACACGGGAGATGTTCTCTGCCAAGTTTCTGTCCAAAACAGCCTGAATGTAGCCGCCGATGTTGACTGTAAAGAAAGAAGAAAACACAATTAGCTCAAGCCAGTTTTCATTAACCTGCCAGATTCAAATAAAAGCCAGACACATACAGTCTTTAAGGTTGAACTCGCAGGGTGCCTTTGCAGACCACAGTCTCATAGTGTTCACTACGTTGTTCCTGTAGCCTGGGATGGGGGTGTCGTACGGCAGGGCCAAAACTACCTGCCAACACGAACGAACAGAGAGACGCTAACTTAAACCAGCTTTATAACCTCATTAATTATRGTTTGTTAAAGCTCCCTTTTTTCACCTGAGTGTCCACCCATTTGACACCATCAGGTTGATGCTCGGTCCTGCCGTAAAAGTGGACGGGACGCATGTACTCGGGGCGAGCCTTCTCCCAGGGGTTACCGTAGCGCAGCCAATCATCAGCTTCCTCAACCTGGATGAGAAATGGTCGTTAGYCCAGTGGGTTCTAATATCACTCATTATGAAATAAAATAAAATGCTGTTTCCTCATTTAGTGGGCCTGTGAGAGCTTCAAAGATATAATATGCTGCTTTAAAGCCAGCATTGACCATAAACTACATCTATGCAGGTTGATTATTTCCCCAGGAAATGACAGCATCGCATCACTTAGGTGAAGATGCAAAGGGTTCAAAAGCAGCATGGCAAAATTGGCCGTGTAAAAATCTCCATTTCACAGCATATTCTACGGCTACTTTTGCTGCAGGTCAGTTGTACTGGGAAGTACGAATTTCCCACTTACTATTTGTGAATTTAAACTGGAATGCCCCTCTAGTGGGAATTTTCATTCAGAATCTAGGAGAGTTTAGAATTCAGGATGCAAGCTACTCACCACAACTCAACAATCAGAGAAACTCTCTTACTTTTAKTTTTAATAGTATTTCTGTAATATTTATTTCACATTTAGTATGTCGTACACATTGTATTTTTCAGTGTTTATAAGAGGACTTGTTAAAATGCTGCTTATATGTAAGAAATATCACGTGGAGCTTAGCTGTTTTTTAGCGATGCTCAACCACAGCAACAAGACGAGGAATGTGACGTCYAAATGTTAAGTCAAAGTTAAACACAAAACATTAAAATTACAACTGGCTCTTTGAGAGCCACCATAATGCTTATGTGGCCCTTTTTTAAAACTGGGTTTGACAACCCTGCGCTATCAGAAAATAAGAAAAAAAACAGTCGGTACCTGCCAACCACTGACGATTTTTTGGTTGAAGATACCAAATTCATAGCGAATTCCATAACCATAAGCAGCTAAGCCCAYTGAAGCCATGGAGTCCAGGAAACAGGCTAAAACACAGAAAAAAGAAATATTGAGCTTCTTTAATTTTTTTTATTCTAGCAAAACAATTATTTGCTCACCAGCAAGGCGACCTAGGCCGCCATTACCCAAACCAGCATCTTCCTCCATGTCCTCCAACTCCTCCATGTCTAGACCCAGCTGTGGACGGCAAACGACTGATCAGCCAGAGGTTTTTATGTGAGGCTGATCCGTTTCTTATTTATTTATTTTGAGACAGAAGAAGAGAACTTCACAGTTGTAAGAGGATTAAAATAAGCTTCTTTGTCTCACCTGGTACATGGCCTCATCACAGGCGTTCTCCAGTGCGAGGTTCACCATGGTGTTTTGGAGCGTACGGCCCATGTAGAACTCGAGGGAGATGTAGTACACGCGCTACAGTTTGAGGGGGYGAAGGAAAGAAAATGACATGATTTGTCATTTTATAGGAATACAACGATCTAAAACTGGTGAAGGTGTGAAGAGTGGTGTGGGTGTCTTTTAGTGCCAGTGTATTGTCACTTCAGGAAGGTCTTCACAGCTGCTGAAATCGCTACATATTTGACATTGAAACTATAAACCTGTGAAATCGTATGCCAAATGTCACAATAACACCCACAGCAGACTGTCAGAGAAATCATCAGGTGTCGTGATTTAGTTTCATGCTCGGGAGCACACATAAATGTGCCACCTGAGCCTGTGTTTAGCCTTTGCCATTTAGACATAGTTGATTTTTTTAAATGATTATTATTTATTATTTAATTTTTTGCTCTTAACATGGAAGAGCAGACACAAGCAGAGCAAGGAAGGAAGATGAGAGGGGTGGGGATGGAGGGGGCGAGCAGATTGCTTTGGGTATTACATAACACTAACATTTTGGGCCGAGCAAAAAATAGCTCCAGCAGAGGTCGTTGTAAAGGTCAGGCAGAACCTGATAACCTTTAATTGTGAAGTCCAAGTGTGGAGACACAGACGGTTCTGATAGATGTGTAAAATAATTATGAGTACATCTGACAGAGCTTTATTCTCCAGTACTTGCTGGTAAACTTTATTRTCCAAACTACATTAAACTTTAACTTAAAGCTACTTCTCAGAAAGTTTGGTGTGGTTATGTGGAAAGGTTARGAACAATTATCCTTTTTTAATGTCTTTAAATGAGCTCAGTTTGGAGAAAAACAGGAGAGTTTAAGTCCAACTGATGGTCCAAGCAGAACCAAGACCYAACTGAATTATTGATAAGACAACTTTCATCTCAATAATTTCTCAGAGATTCATATAAATTTTTACATATAAACCTTCTCATCAGTATCTCTTTGCATTATTTGGCCATTTACAAAAAAAATATATGTGGTTCTTTGCAAACTCAACTGAGGTTAGTTGTAGCCATTTAGCCTGAAGGTCCTCCAGCAAGAATATCATAACATTTCTGCCAGTATAATCATGTGAAACTGACAATGATATAYATGTTTGTAACACAGCATTCACATTAATTTGTGAATTTTTTGAGATGAGCTATTTTAAGACTACAGCAGTCTCTTTGGTGCTGACATCGCTAAGGCTAGCTGTTAGCTTATGGAGCTTTTACATTGTCAATCTGCTCTCTCTTTCTCCAAACTAAGTTTGTTTGAAGTTCTTTTTAAATAACTATTTTACAAATCTTTACTGTTATGGTAAATTTTGCATTGCATGGTTATTTGCATGTTGCATGCAGGTTGTAAAAGCAATAAACAGCTAGCTGTAGCCCTTTCAGTACAGCATTGATTGATTGATGATGCCTTTATTGTCATTGTTTGGAGCACAATGAAATTACATTTAAGAACATCAATTCAAGAAGACACACATGACAAAAACATGAGGGAACAGGTGATCAGGTCATGTGGCAACCAGCGGGGTCGCTCTACCTTTTAAAAAGAAAAACTAAATACAACAGAAGGTTAGATGAGAAAAAAAAAACATCATATTATATCAACAAAATGTGACACACTATGGTGCTTATAAAAAAAACTCAAGCAAGAGCACATTTATTAGCCAGAGCAGCATGGAATACTTCGAGCAGGAATATCAATAATAGAAACACAAAAATGAAAGAGTTGTGGAATTTTCTAAAATGCTATTCACATAAATTGTTACAATTTTTTTCAGTACTGGAGTTTTTTTAAATAGCATTTCAGTCTTGGCCCCTTTTGGACTCTGTTAGCTTATCAATGTGGTCAGAATAGAAGGCTATTTCTCCTAATTAATGCTTTTCAAAAATCTATCTACAACAAGTAGGATATTCATTGCTCATAGCCTTCTCACAGAACCCACTTTCCAAAGATCTTAACTATTTCATTGTATCTGCCTTTTTCCCAAGAATGTAAGCAATCAGTGTTGCAATGACTGGTTTGTAAGATGATGTTTTGTACAAAACCTTGTCTTTAGCCTGGGTGGCCTTCTATTTCCTTCTCCTGGTCAGAGCAGTCTGCAGTTGACCTTTGATCTTTCAGATCAGAGCATGAGTCCAAAGTGTCAGATTGTGTACCTGTAGCAGTTTCATGAAATCATCTTGTTGTAAACCTCGTAAGAATAAAGATTTGACTCGTATTCATGCAAAAATAGCTGAAGGCTTTTAATTTTTGGAAAAAAACAAACAAATATTAAATTTGGCTTTGTTCAGCGTATTAATGATCCTGAAGAAAGATTCCACTTTTGCCTTGGACTGTAACTACACACAATTCCGCGTGACATTTTTGAGCCGTAGTTCTTTGCAGCTTCTTTGTTTTATTTTTGTGAACYTGCGCTTATTGTTCCTCTGAGGTGTAGCTGTTGGTGGATGATGACACAGTTTAACGGAGCTGCTTTTAAATGAGCTCGGACGTCCTTGGAGCCGTGTGCTCACGTGACCCAGTAGTGCGGACTACGTGCTGTGTGCTCAGACAGGACAGGAACAGAAGGGCATGTGGAGGTTTAATGTTTCAACAAACTATAGGTTAGGCAGCATACCAGGAGGGTGCGAAGAAGTTTAAATGTCATGACTTGGTTAGAAGTATGCTTGACTGTAACTGTCTCTGTCAGAGAGAATTTAATTTGTTTTATTGCAATAGTTCTGGGTTTGTTTGTTTTTAGGCTTGCACATCATGAAGTAAAATTAGCACAAGCTCTGGAGACAGTAAATTAWTTATAATGCAAAGTCAAAGCCTTATATAATAGTTGGAAAGCATAAAAATGCTTGTGGTGCAGGTATTTTGTTATGTTAGTGTTCACATTAATGCATTTAGTCTAATAGGCAGCCAAGTGCAGCAGATTGTGGTTCAATAAAAAAAGGTTTCAGGAAAAAGCTCCTCACAGAGGGGATGAATGTGATCCAGGAAATATTTTACGTTTTATTATTTATTGAAATGTTGGAAATAACATTACATATTATTCCTGTGCAATAATTTCCAACTGTTTCTTCCTGAAAGCTGATCCAGATCCAGACATTTGATCATCAAGCCTTAAAGCTGATTGTTTTGTTTCTGCTCTCATGAGGATGGGCGCAAAAAATGAACACAAATGTTAATTAAAATACATTTTAATTAAACGCAGATTTATCATCGAACAATGAAAAGTCCTAAACTTATCCACAGCCTGACTGAATTTGACCTTATTTGCGTATCTTTGGTACTGCCAGGATTTTACTTTTGGAMCATTAACTTGTCTGATTATGTTGTAAATAATGCTCTGCATCTTCCTGTTGACTGTTTACGCTTTAGTAAAATTGTAGTTTTCAATAATGCAATTTCATATAAAATCAAAAAGGAAATAAAGACATAAACCTTTTTTCATAATCAAAAGATATTATTCGGTGATTTAGTTTAATTTGGCAGAGGTATCTCAAGAAATTGGGTTTCTTGTCCCAACAGTTTGGCTAAGGGGGGACAATTTGTAGGGGAACATTGCTCCCCCCAGATCCCCCCTCACTGGTGCCCCTGGTGAGCATCTGCTTATTTTCCATCGTTCTTCATGCTTCAACAACCAGAACTTACTTTGGGATCTGTCTCATAGTAGTGCTGCTGGGTTCTGATCCACCTGCCGATCAAGTGGTCGCGGACCGTGTGGGCCAGAGCGAAGTAGTAGTCCCTTTTAGTCGCCACATTCCTGTCCTTGACCAGCGTGAAGTGGAGGTGCCGGTTGAAGTTCTGCTTCAGCTCTGTCACGTTTTCCACACCGGCGAGGCCTCGCACCGAGATCTGTTTCCTCCTGTCGTGGTCGGACAGAGGCTTGGACATGGTGGCACGGGCAGCTCAGGTCAGGTCTGGGTCTGCAGGGAGAGTGTAAACAGCAGGAGAGGAACCCAGCCTGCAGCTTCCACCTCAGCTGTTTTAAAGACCCAACAATGAATATTAAGCAAAAGGTGGAGCGAGGTGGATGTTTTAGGMGAGGGGTGGAGAGTGAGTGGAGGGGGAGGATGCCACTTTTCAGTCTCATGAATAAATGAGGGGTGTGTTGGGGTGCTGTTTCATGTTTCTCTGGAAGACAGACGGTACATTTTATAACATGAAGGGATCATTTACTGTAAACAAAGAGAACATTTGAATTTACTTAGTTTATAAAGGTTTAAATATTGCGAGAAACGGGCAAACGTCAGGTCTTTTTACAGATCTGAAGTGGGTTTCTGTGGAACGGTAATAAACCATTAACACAGATTACCTGTCTGATCAGAATAATAATATAATAATAATAACTTTATTTAAAAACACCCAAGGGCACTACAGCAAGAAACCCTTTATAGAAGATTGTGTGAAAACAAATACAGTGCGTTAGTTACAGAGGAAGGTATTTAAAACAAGAGTTAAGACGGAAATGCTAATCTAAAGATGTTTTCAGATCAGTCTTGAATAGAGAAACAGAGGTGGTGTTTCTGAGGTCTGATGGTAGAGAGTTCCAGAGCAGATGAAGACCCTGCTCCCCAGGGTGGAGAGGCGGGCAGAGYGTCCATGGAGATTTAGGGAACTAGAGGATCTGAGAGAGCAAGAAATGACAAGCTCATGGCTAGTCCCAGTGAGGTCAAAGCTAAAGTGGATTTCTGGCATTTTAAAACTRAGTCTCAAAACATTCAGAACAAATCATATTGTTGACCTAAACAGTCTGAATCACTAGCTTACATTTCAGTGTATTTTTTCTATTATTACTTTATTTTGAAAAATCTGTTRTCTTTGTTTTATGGATTTTTTTCTCGCTTGCACATCTTCAAGTAGTTTATATTTTATAAGACACCTGTCTGTGGTGCACCAGCATTTTATTCTGCATTCCTGTGTATTATTGATGGTATTTGTAGCCACGGTGTCATAACGATCGTATCTAAGAGGTGAATAAATTTAGGCAGGACACCACTGAAGGTGGATCTTGGTGTGTGCAAGCAATGTTCTTGCATTTTTTTTTTTTTTTTTTTACGAGACATGTTTAGGTATGGTGGTCTTCCCATGATGAAAATCTTTTTCAAACCACTTTTATTAAAATCTCTGCAGTGTCTTGATGTGGCATCTGTAGCCACWCCGGGCTGGAAAGGATTGTGACATCTGCTGAAAATCCAAACTTTAGTTTTCCTAAAAGCATAAACTTCGACAGTTAATTGAATGCACCAATAATAGCAGCTAGCTGTAGCACTTCTGGTGCATTCTGAGGCAAGATGGCTCTGCCATAATCAAACTGACAGCAGAGTAAATATTTATAGAGTGGTGTTTACATAAATGTGTTGACAAGATTTCAACAAACCCCCACTTTATAAGATGAGTTTTACCTCGAAGAGATTCAGGGGAAATCCAGTATCGTCATTAAAAATGTAACATTTTCCAACATTGATTTTGCTTCTTCTAAAAAGTCAAGCACAACATTTTATTAATTTTTTTAGAAGAGAATGCAACACTGCAGAGTGTCGTTTCACTGAGCAGTACTGCATGTGTGTCACAACACAACCCACTGGAAGTAGTTATAAATCTGTAATCRGGTGTGTGTTTGTAGATCACATCTGTTCAGGAGCCTGCAGCAATGACAGCCGCAGAATTAGCTGCAGCGACTAAGACCCCTGCTCTACTCTCAGTTATCACCCTGGCGAGCCACACTATCATGAAGTCCTGACCTTCTATAAATAGTTCCTCTGACCCAGTCCCAAAGGCCATGATATTTGAAAGGCATATCTTGTTAATGTCAGCAAGAGCCGGCAGAAAACACAAGTACGTTACTATCAGCTGGACCACAGCGTATAAGGGCAGGAGGAGGGTTTGTCTCTGAGCTGCTCTCAGTGAGATGCAGCGCTGCACTATTATAGTTTTCTCACTAAAAGACGGGTTTCTACTTTCAGTGGGAAATTGTTTAAAAGCTGGTAGGGAAGAGAGAATCTTATTTCGGCACCCGGAATGTGCTTGGATTGCACGGAGTGTTGAATAAATGCTGACAGGGAAAGTATTGAGAATAAAATTACCTTGTCCATCTAACAATTTCTCTCTGTCGCTAAAACACACAAAAAAAGAAAGAAAGAAAAGAAAAGCCAACATGGCTGTCGATTGCTAAAGCAGTGAGACGGCAAGTAAATAGAAATCAACTTGCAGGTGGTTGACATGTCTGGCAGAGCTTTCTTGCCCTGTCTTCTTAATCTTAATGTTTTTTTTCTCCTTTAAGAACCTGCACAGAATATAAACGCTGCCTGCTCTGTTTGCTGCGATGGTGCTTCCAGTGTTTCTGGATGCCAAATGACCCGCAGGACAGAGGGACAGGCYCACAGCAAGTGAAAGAGATTGAAGCTGGCGTGCCCCTGATTTGTCCAGTATGATGAACAAATTATYTTCTTACATGTCTACTGGGTGTTCTGTCAAAAGGCACATCGAGAATTTCCCCACCAAACTGAATGAGTGCACCGCCCGGTGGAAAAAACACTGAAGTTAATTATGTGATGTGAAGAGATGCTTTTAACATCTTTAGAATTAACCCCATTTTAATGTTAACGCAGTTTGACTATTTATTTCTYTGCACTCATGTAGCTTTAATATAATAAATAATCATTTGGATAGATGTATTTATGAGTTGCACAGTAGCTTAAGATTAGTTTTTTTAGCTGGATCTCAGGTGTCGATTTAGAGAAATGGGGTCAAATATATATTTAAAATTAATACATATATTTAATTAATTTCATTCATTCATTATTTGCAGCTTGTTKGAGCAATTTAGACAGAATTAAACTCTGCTTCTCAGCAGAGATATCTGCAGCAGGGAAGATATTGATTGTCCATAGCCATTTTTAACTAATCTCACTTCAAATTAAATTTCTTGCTTTAAGCTGGGAAAAGAAACAAAACTGGAACTCATCAATAATGAGTAGGGCTGTGTATTGGCAAGAATTTGGCGATACGATACATATCATGACAGAGGGGTCACGATACGATATATCCCGATATACTGTGATGCTATAAGCAAGGCAATATATTGTGATTTTTTTGTCCAAAAATTCTATTAAATAAAAACCTCTTACAGGGAAAAAATGAAAAACCAAAATTCATTGTCACAGAAAATTCTAAMATTACAMAGACATHCTTTTGATACATTTAGCTGTGTTCTGCTTTGTATGTATTTTTTTTTTCATATTTCTTATTTCATCCATGTTTTCAATTATTAGACTAAATTTGACAAATAGTTTGAAAATATATTTTTGCAGCTTTTAATTTTTAATATTAATTTACAGTATGGTCACCCAACACTTAACAATAGCTTCTACCTCAACAGGCAGAGGAGCCAAATGGCTGGCTCACTGCTGCCAACTAGTGGTCAGAGGCTGAACTACAACATAAAAATGAACGGCTGGCAGGAAAGTTGACATTTTAAACCTTAATAAAAAATCAATACAGGGCTTTAGAATATCGATACAGTATCGGAAAATGAAATATCACGATATTTCAGTGTATCGATATTTTCTTACACCCCTAATAATGAGTCTTTATCCAATAAACAGGAATGAGTTTTATTTTTATTCATGAAATAGAATCTACTTTTAATCAAAATATGAAGTCAATTACGTTTTTCATGAAGGTTCTCATTGGCTAACTTTACTACAGCTGTTAGTTCACTATTTACCAATTGTCAAGTTGAATTAAAAAAAAGTTAATCAGTTTTTTAAATCAGAAAAGCACCAACTAACTCCAAATTTATATTTATCCGCAGTGGTGGACTTAAAGTTGGCAAAACCTAATTTAGCAAAACCTAAATTAGGTTTTGACAACTTTAAGGTCGCTAACAGCTAACTAACAAGCTAAAATCAACAGGTTTGTGTCTGTCCCACCAGTCTTCAGCTGGAAGGAGACAACGTGACAGGCTGACAGTCATCTTAGTGGTTAGCTGCTAGTGATGGCTTCCACATTTTTTTTCAAGCATAGCGGTTAAGGGTTGGCAAAGCTAACTTTTTAGTTAGCTGAGCCTACTGCTCSTTATTAGTAAACCAAGAAATTATTTTTTTTCTGTATCTTTAATGCATTTTAGTGATTGGTTGGACTCACTAATCGCCAATGAACTTATTAATAAACACTTTCAAATTATACTATTTTTAAAAAATAAATTAGGGTTACATTTGTTCAAGATTTAAAAAATCTTAAAATACCAAAATAAGAAAAGTTGATACAATTTTTTTACGGAACCAAAGTTGCCACATTTGATGGGCTTCAGAAATTCTTATTCTTGTCCTATATGTGTGCAATCTGTGTGTTCACCAAAACAAACACCAAAAAGTTAACCTTGCTAACTCATAAGCAACTAAACATGTAAAAATTTAGCTTGCCTATGACGCAATGTGTGGCAAGATCGGACCCAAATGCAGACTCACGAGGAATCAAAGTTGAAGGTTTTATTAAAGAAAAAGGCTGACATAATTGGTTCACTAATGGTTTATAAAGTTATCTAAAAACCTGATCTGCTAAACGAAAAATTAGTTCCACTATTAACTGACTGGGGGAACCATGCCCACCACTGAATATTAGTAACATCACCAACTGTGTTGGTAGTTTTTAATAATACACCTGAAATAAAGTTTTTCTCACAATATTTACTATGGAGCAAGTTGRTTTTGTTTTTCCAGTTTTCAGATTTCAGAACCACAAGGCAGATTTTTCCTTTTTGAAAGATGAAGCTGATGCTAGAACAAAACCATTAATCGCTTTGCCGTGTAAACAAGCGGGGAAGCCAACACGCATAATACACCACATCTGCAGGTGCAATATTTTTTTCTCACACTTCCACGTTTCTAAACTTCATGTTAACCTTTCATGTGCATCAAAGTCAGCAGTTCTTCTTGTCCAAATATTTGCTTCATAAGTTCTT